TACGCCAAGATCTGCACTCGCCCAAGTGCCTTCGAAGACCCACTTGTCTTCCCTCCATCAATACGCTGTTCAAGATTTGAGAAATCTTTCGCATTAGATGCACCGACACTGTCTATCACCTCCTTCATCTCTGTGTCACACAAGCTTGAGGCAATAGGGGGCATCTGCTCGTACGGGTACTCTTTGAATAGCCACAACTTCTCTGCCTCACAGATTTCCCCAAATCGTGCCCTAGCTTTGGTCTAAGTCAAACTGAATGAAATCTTCACACAATCGGGACTTGTAACATCAATGTCCATCATTTTTGTCTTCTGGGCTTTATAAAATGCAAACCAAGCAGCTTCGAACCCCACCAAGACGAAGCATAACTTCATCCTTCGCTGCAAAAACGGAGAGGTCGTGCTCAAAACTTCATTGTGGACGGTGGGATTTGAGGGCCACCAAAAGCAGGCAAACAAGAGGTATTTCTAATGCATGAATACTTTTTTTTTATTATTATTTTAAATGTCATTTGGGTTTGTGAGTTTTGAACAATGTATTGACTGATTTTGGTTTACAAAGTTCACATGGCTTTTGCCTTTGGGTTGTCAATTTGTGGTGAATTTCCCAATCGGTAAATTTCTGAAATCATAGTCCATACAGTCACACACCAGACGCAGTTAATCAAAATTACAGAGGTTTAAAAATATCCTTCAAACTCACAAAGTAGAATCAAATGTACCCTAATGTATAAGAACTATTGTAAATGAAATTTTACATGCACCAAATTTTTTAATAAATTGTTTGCATAAGAACTATTCTACGCTACAAATTTTCGCTTTAATTTACACCATAGCACTGTGTTATTAGAAAAATTTCCATCGTTGGATACATTGTCTGATGAGAGAATTCATCACATTCCTGAATTTATACATTGTCTGATGACAGAATTCCTAAATTTTGAGCCCCATATTTCATAAATATAATTGTGGGTCATACAAACACCTAAATTTATTTTCTGTAAAACTGAAAAAGGACAAACATGTATAATTTAAAAATGATTAATATTTGATATTAGCATTTCATATTTTAAACTAGCTGCAACAACTAATCTATGTGCAATGAATCCAGTCCACAAGTGGGTATGAACTCTGAAACGTCTTTTGCCTAACAGTCTATCATCAACCAAATTGGCACTTTTCGTAAGGTTTTAGAGTATAAGTCTTGAGATCTTCTGTTGTTTTTGTTTTGTTCAATTACGAGTTTTGATTGATATTGATGAATGGGTCATCTAATGTAGTAGTTGGGTTTGATCTTAGTTGATATGATGCACATAATTATATTCATTGATTTGGTTCATTTTTACTTCATATGATATATGAGTTATGAAACCATGCTAAGAACATGTCTGACTTAGAAGATATTTCCATTAAATATCTTCTACTTTTCCTATTTTCTTTTTTCCTATGGCATACATGGAACTGTATAACATGATGAATAACTAGAACTAACTCTCTTCTAAGATCTGGTGCATCATTGTTGTAACTTGGAAGTTAGAACTGTCGTCCTGCTTTTGGTGTCAATTTATCACTAATTTGCACATGATTCCAGAATCGTTGTACATGCCTAATGTTTTTATTACATCCCATCTTTGTTATCTGCTTTCATTAAACTTTAATGTTTTGATGGCTAAGGTCAGCGCTTTCATATATATATTATTTATCACATCGTTTGTCAACTAAGTTTATTAATAGTGGATTTTTTCTTTCATTTCAATGTGTTGGATCTGTTAAGTTGTTAACTACAGTGAAGTATATTTCCTCTTTTTTATTCCTTTTTTTTTTCTTTTATTTATTTTTATTTTTATTTTTATTGTTATTATTTTGATTAATTTCCCATGCTATCTTCGAAACTTTGAAAATTAATTTCATTCTGCTCATTCTGAAAATTCTGCTTTCATAATTCTGCTCATGTATGTCATATAAATTCTGCTCATTCTGAAAATTCTGCTTTGACAATTCTGCTCATGTATGCCATATAAATTCTGCACATTCTGAAAATTCTACATCGATAATGGTTCGCATGTATGCCATATAAATTCTGCTCATTCTGCTCACGAGTCAATTTTCTACTATTTTTACTATTTTCTTTGTCTGTATGGTATTGTTAAGTTTTGAAGGTCTACTATTATACGAAAATTCTACTCATGCATGCCATATAAAATATAGGCATTATGCAAGAGCATTATAGTGCACAAAATTGTCCATAACTAAATTTTTCATTTCGATTTTAAACCAGGCCAACTTTGTACTCCTCGGTCATTGTTCAATACACCAAGGGCCAAGAGAAAGAGATCACCTCAACCATCAGTCAATTCCTCCACTGCTGAAAACAATTGTCCTTATCCGGTACACTTTTGCACGCGGAATCTCATATTAAACATTCCTAATATTCGTAATGGCTAGTATTATGCATATGCTTAATATCACTTATTGTCAATCTATTTTTCAAGCTTAAGTTGTTCACATAACTATAAGTGGTAATTTGTTGCACTTGTATTAAGCTAGAATGGCTAACGATAATGATGACTTTAAGATGTGGGGGTCCGAAAATGTCAAGATATTTTTAGAAATATTGGTGGACGGAATTAAGAAAAAGGGTCCTTTTATGTCAAAGAAAGATAGGAGTTTTTTCCCAAGGCAGTGGCAAACAATTGATGATGAGATGACTAAAAAGGTTGGAAAAAATTATGGGCTAAAAAAATTGAAGGGTAAGTTTGCACGTTTGAAGTTGAACTACAAAGAGTTTGTTGCGCTGAAAAACCACACGGGTTTGGGCTGGGATCCAATCACTCAAACAGTGACAGCCCCAAACGATGTTTGGGAAAATTATGTTCAGGTAATTATTTTGGCCCATACATTTAGCAGAACCATGTGCATAGAGAATTAATTTTTTAAATGATTAATTAATGTTTACAACTTGTAGGCACACCCAAATGCAAAACAATTCCAAACCAAAGGCCTTGAACATTATGAGCTCATGTCAAAAATATTTGCCAAGTCATTTGCCACTGGCGCTTTTGTCCGTTCTTCTCGTCAGGGTGCACCCACATCTGATGACGAACGAGAAATGGATGAACGCTTTCATCCATATACGTCGGGAAAAGGCGTAGTAGATAAATCTTGCACTTCCGGAAGTAAGCGTAAGTCTAGTGGCCAGGGTCAGTCCAACAAGAACCCAAAAATGGATGATGCACTGCAATCATGGCAATGTTCATGTGAAGCACGTGAACGATTTTACCTTCAAGCAGAGGCCAACGCTGGGGCAGCTGGTGCGTACTCCGTTGCAGCATGTATGACCATCCTAAAATCAATGGCCCTGGATCCGAGCTTGTTTATGAAGGCCATGAACATGTTCACATCACTAGAATGGCGAACCATGTTTATGACCATGGAACCGGAAATGAGGTACCTTGGATCCTCAGTTTGTAAGAAGCTTGGTCATCTCACTGTTCGGTTTGAGGTGAAGGAAATGAAGATGCTCGCAGAATTGTTTGGGTGTATTTTTCTTTTTTTTTGGCATTTGTTAAACCTAAACTATATTTGTTTTAATTTGTTTGTTTTTCCCTTTCGGTTTGCACTATGTTGGGTGTTGAGCTAACTATCTATATCATGCTGTCTATGTGGTTTCACTTTAGACTTAGCACTATGTTGTCGTAATATATTTTCGGCATGCTTTCTTTGTTGCAATGTCCTCATTTAATTTTTAGTGCTATACTCATGTCATTACTAATAATACCTTGATTGTTTTACACTTTCCGCTTTAGATGTCGTCGTCACGACCCAATGGAAGGCAACCGAACAATATGTATGACCCGTACAGTGACGATGACGATGACGATGATGTGATGGACTTACACATGGTTTGTCAACTAACACGTGACATTCCTACGAGACAACCGCAACATAACTGTCCATACACCGGTGAGCAGTACATAAAATTCTTACTAAGTGGAAATCTTAAATCAATCCGTGAACAATTGCGAATGGAAGTCCCGACATTTGTCGAATTGGTTAAACAAATTGTCCGTAGAAATGTTGTAGACTGGTCGAACATGCGATTGTCACTGGAAGAGTCGTTGGCTATGTTTTTATTTATCTGTGGTCAAAGTTCAGGAACAAGAAATGCTGGAGATCGATTTTAGCACTCAAATGAGACAATTCATCGTCATTTCGTACTTATGATGTGGGTGTTGGGAAATCTTGCGCCATTTGTAATCCAACCACCGAACATGGATGTTACCCATCCTAAAATTCGGAATGACAGATGGTATTGGCCATGGTTTAAGGTAACAAAAATGGTAGTTCATTTGTATTATTTTATATGGCTTATTGGGACCTAACATTTCATAAGTTAATTCAAAGTTATGTCATCTAGGACTGTGTAGGGGCCATAGATGGCACACATATTGTTGTTGTGGCACCAGAAGGTGACCAAATGCCATATCGAGGTAGAAAAGTGCATACAACTCAAAATGGCATGGCTGCATGCTCATTTGAGATGAAGTTTACGTTTGTATACACTGGTTGGGAAGGTAGTGCACGTGATTCGAGAATTTTTCTAGAAGCACTTACCACAAATTCTGCTGACTGTCCACACCCACCACCTAGTAAGTGTATTTGTTGATAAATAATTTAGAGTTTTCCTTTTTTTCACACCCAAATATGCCATGACATGTTCTTACTGAAAGAGTTTTACTGTAGACAAGTATTATCTCGTTGACGCCGGGTATACACACATGCCTGGGTACGTAGCCCCATATCGTGGCCAAAAATACCATTTGCAAGAGTTCAATAGGCAGCGTCGCTATCATGGTCCAAAGGAGTTGTTCAACCATAAACATTCTTCTTTGAGGAATGTTATAGAAAGAACCTTTGGAGTGTTGAAACAACGGTTTCCATTATTGAGACCCATGCTACGGTATGATATGTGTAACAAGCCCGCGGGGGACCTCGCTACAGCTCGGACTCGACTTTGTAGTCACGGTTCTAAATCTGAACCAAAGAGTCCAAATCCGGCAAATCGTTTTTAGAAAACTGATTTTTTGAAAGAAGCGCCAAACATGGACTGCTTTGCCAGATACAGAGTCGCCACCTAAATATTTTATTTTGGGAAATTTAGGAAATCCTGACTCGGTGCCAAAAGGCCACGTGTCCGTCATCACCAAAGTTGCCTCGGCTCGGGAACTTGGGTACGATTGGGGAAGGTCACTTCGTGAGCACCCCCGCTCGCCCGGTCATAGACCGGCCTCTACTAACCATGATATCTATTTTTGAAAACATTGTGAGTTCTTATTCCGATTATTAGCCTAGGTTACTATGTGATGTGCACAGCATACAAATATAGACCGGATTGCCTGAATTGGAACGAAACATTTCATGCTTGTTTTTTAAAGTGACAGAGAGCAGGAAAGCGGGCTATAGCAATGTATTTGCACAAATATATGCATGTCTCGATCCTCTGTGCCACTCTGAATACGCCATACCGAGGCCATGTATGTCGAGGAGTCGAAATGCACAACTCAATATAGGTATTTGAATTGCACATGCGAAACGTACAGCTAAAAACCTAACCTCCATCAATGGGTAATCCGGGATAGTGTCGGTGACTGGAATTGAACACTTCGTCACTCGGGAGTACGAAATGTACCTCGTTTCCCGCTGCCCGGGCCTAACTCCTATTCCGGACACGACGTTGCAAGTATGCATGATATGCATGAAATATTCAACTAAAGATACAATCCTAACGTACATCAGTGCTATGAAATTGAGATGCCTTAAATGCTGATGCACGCAGGCACGCTAAACCGAGAAAAAAATGCAGAATGCTATGGAAAAGAAATGCTCGGAGTGCAGAATGAACACATTGGGCACGCAAACTAGGCGATGATATGTGTCTCAAAAAGTAACGTGCACAACTGGAGCACGCAAACCGATAGGCAATGAGTATGTATGTCTGCGAAGTACGTGCATGCAGCAACGCAAAAACCGAGCTGGGCAATGATATGTGTCTTCGAAATACCGTGTACGAGTGGGCACGCAAACCAAGGCATTAATGATATGGTGTCTCGAAAATACGTGCCCCTGGGCACGCAAACCGAGGCACATGATATGTGTCTTCTTGAAGCTGCGTACACGGGCACGCAAACCGCAGGCAAATGGCGGATTGCTGACAATTGACATGGAAATGACCCCAATTAGGGCTTATACAACATGAGGAGAGCCTCAGCCACAACTCACATCGCTGATGCCTTGGTGGCAGAAAATTGGAAGTGCTTCGAAAATTGTCGTGCACACGGGGCACGCAACGATAGGCGATGCTAAAATGTGATGAAATGACATAGAAAAAAAATGGAACCAAAAAAAAATGGGGGGCTATTATTTTTTTTTTTACCAACATGAGAGAGTCTCAGCCACAGCTCACATCGGACTAGCCGTCGCGTACATAGAAAATGATTGCCTCGAAATACGTGCACACGGGCACGCAAACCTGAAGTGACGCGATGCTAAAATGTGATAGAATGACAAATGACAGGAAAAGACAAATGGCGCTTATACCAATCATGAAGCACGAGCCTCAAGCCACACTTCACACGGTATGCCGATCAGAAAAGTGGCGAAAGGATACAGTACTGCCTCAGAGATGCGTGCACACGGCGGCACGCAAAAGCCTGAGGAGCGATTGCCTAAAATGTGATGAAATGACATGAAATAGCAAATGGGCTTAATACCAACATGAGAGCCTAGCCCCTTCGAGCGCTCGTGTTACTACCAAACCTTCATCTGATCACGTGACAAGTTATGATTTCATACGAGTACATTAACGTGGACAGAAAATGAACGTGCCTCGAAATGCTCGTAGACACAGGCGCCACGCAAACCGAGGCGATGCCTAAAATGCTGATGAAGATATTGGGCATAAAAGTGATTATGCAGCATACTAATGAATATTCAGCACTAAGAGAATATGGGGAAAATAGGTCCCGAAATGAAGCGAAGAATGAACATGAAATGCAGGAAATGTCCCGAAAATGGGGACATATGAGGCCCCGAAATGGACTATACTATGACCAAACGATGTACAATATGGACTGCCAATGCAAAGACAGAAGCTGACCAGTCCAAAATATTAACTTTTCACAGTATAAAACTAATGGGTGCCCAACAGCAAGTATAAGATAATTGGGTAAAATAGCATGCAAGAATAGGGCCAAAAGAGGGTTATGCAGGCAATGGGCTATAAGAAAAAAACTCAAACTGAAAATATTTCCTTCTACAACACTGAAGATGGACAAAAAAATATGACATTTACTAGTATATGCAGACCTTCCAAATCAGATATACAAAAACAAGTGCTAAAAATGTGATGCTAAAAAAACAAAGCTCATAAAGGTGCTTTATCTACTAACATGAAGATATATAAAATAATCAACCAAACAGAAAAAAATCGGAGTGTCGAAGTGAAACATGACAGTATATAGTGCCAAAATAAGGTCTCACTTTCAAGATTCGGACCATAACGAGCACAAAAACAGAAGCAAAGAGGGCTATCAATTTAATTGCAAAAATGCGGCCAAATTTATGGATTATAAACTACAAGACAGCATGGAACACCAAGACAAGTAATTGAGAGCCCTTCTCCAAATAGTTGAAAGAGGCGGCCTCAAAATAAGCTGGCCTATATATACAGTTAGCTAAAATAGCTTCAAAAAAGATTGCTCAGGGCCAAGACTAGCATGCAGAAAATCATGACATACGAGATGATCAGAGCAAGTATATATGGATGGGCTCAAATGCAAGGTGAGCCTTAATGGAAGTTGAGATGAGCTCAAAAATATGGCCCTTTTCCAGTAGGGCCAGAGCTTGAAACAAAAGAAGTGAGGCTTCTAGCAATAATAGCATCAGAGGAAAAGGGTCAAAGGTTAAAAGTGTAACTTCCTTTGAAGATTCAAGCTTTTGTTGCAGTTCTTGGATGGATTTGCGCCTTCTTTGCCTTCTGAAAACCTTCCTTGCTGCTGGGAGTGAGGTTAGGTTGGGTGGTAGAGCTTGGTGGTAGTGTAGAAGGAATGAATGGTTAGGGACTTTAGGGTTTTTTGAAGAATTGAAGAAGCGAGAAGATAGGTGTTGGTCTATGGAGCTTTGAAGATACATTTTTTCTAAACCCTTCAAAGAGGCCACCAGCGGTTATAAGGATTCAAAATGGGGGTTGTAAAGGTTGGGGAGCAAGGTAGGGCAAAATCTCCCCACAAAATATACCCCCGCGATACAGACAAAATGTCGGGGATTTCGCCCACTAGCTGGGAAAGGCAAACAGTGCCAAAGGAAGGCAGGCCGGCCTCACACTTTTGCTGGAGGTGTCGGCGGCCACAACACCCTAGCCGGCCCGGCCACACCCCCTAGCCGCGCGCGGCTAAACGGGGTCAAAAGGCGTCAGGTGATTTTTCGGCCGGCCAGGCTCAACTGCGGGATGGTACTACTATGTGTTTACAACAACAACCATGTAGGTGAAAATTCCAAGAAAGTGGGCCCAAGGGCTTCAACAATGGCTCGGAGAAGAGGGGGTCAAAAGAGTCAAGTTGACTTACTGGCCGGTCCAATTGAACTTTTTAGGGGCCTAACCTTCATGTGTGTACATCACAGATTATGTGGTCAAAGTTCAAGAAAAAGCCCAAGGTGATTTACATTAGGCTCTGGAGCTGATAAAAGGGTCAAAAGGCGTCAGAGTGACCATTGAATGGCCCCGGGCATGAAACTTTTAGGGGAACCTCATCAGCATAGTGTTAATCACAGCATTATGTGTTTGAAAGGTTGGCAACTACTAGCTCCAAGTATTCAACATTAGCCCGGAAAGTAGCGAAAAACG